AGAATCAAGAAAATACAGGCACCCTCAGTATAAGGAGAAAGGAATTCCCTTAAGAAATAGATATGAAGTTTTAGTGGATAAAAAAGAGGAGGAGGTTTTTTGGCAGAGCAAGATGAAAGACAGACACAAGATAGATCAAGAAACAGATACTCCTATCAACCCCAGAACGAGAAGGGTATCACCCTCGGAGGAACAAGGGGAGGGAGATTTGCACAGGCCAAAAAGAAGAGAAATACACATAAGAAATTAATGCAAGGCATTTTTAACTTAAGCAATAAAGTTTTAGATTCTAACCATATATCTGTACTAAATAAAGGACTTAAATTCGCGCCAAATACAGGTCTTAATCATTTTGACATGTATATTGATATAAATCGATTTAGACGGAGTCTGTGTCTAAAGAAATTCTTTATTAAAAATCCAGCAAATAGGGATCATCTAAATCCAGAAATCTATTCAATAGAGGTACCGGATTTTAAACATACAACCCTAAAAAACAAATCAACCTTTTATCCGAAACAAATGATTTCTGATGAAATGATCTCTTTTGAAACTATGGTTATGACAGAAATTAACAAAATAACCTCTAAAGATAATTTTAGGAATAATTTAACCCCAATGGAGAAAAAGGCCTTGAAAGATCTACAGACAGATGATGATCTAATTGTGAAACCCGCAGATAAAGGAGGGGGAATAGTCCTAATGTCTAAATCATTCTATAATACTGAAGCGGAGAATATTTTAAAAGAATATTAAACAACAGTTAAATAAAAATCCAAGTGATGAGATAAATAAGACATTTCAGAAGTTTTTCGAGAAAGGCTTAAATGAAAAAATTCTGGACCTTAAAGAATTCCAATACCTGAATATTAAGTTTCCAAAGACTCCAGTTTTTTATTTTTTACCCAAAGTTCATAAGGATATTAATAAACCCCCAGGTAGACCTATAATAGCAGGAATAGATTCTGTTTCTAGTAAGTTATCTCAATATATAGATGTACAGCTACAACCGCTAGTAGTGCAAACCAAATCCCATATCAAGGATACTTCACTGTTTTGAATCTTTTAGAAAAAACAATTTGGAATTCCGATTGCTTTTTAGTCACATGCGATGTAACTGCTCTTTACAGTAATATACCACATACGTACGGGTGTAGAGCAGTAGAACACTTTTTAACTAAATGTAATGATTTTTTACCGAAGCAGGTTGAATATATATTAGAAGGAATAGGATTGATATTAAAAAATAATTTTTTTTGGTACAATGATAACTATTTTTTACAAATCAATGGGACGGCCATGGGGACCAAGTTTGTCCCCAGTTACGCCTACTTGTTCATGGCCTTTTGGGAAGATCATTTTGTATATGAAGGTCATGACTGGGGGGAGAACTTGGTCCTCTATGGTCGTTACATCGATGACATTATACTAATATGGAAAGGTGAAGAAATAGAGTTAACCAAGTTCTTAATGTTTTTAAATAGTAATGATTGGGGTATTAAATTAACGACCACATACAGTAAGGAGATAATTACATTTTTAGACTTAGACATTTTTATAAAAGAAGGGAAAATCCAAACCAAAAACCATTTTAAACAGGTGGATTGCAACAGTTTTATTGAGAAGATCAGTTGCCACCACTCTCCGTGGCTGGAGAATGCCAATGCCAATTCCTCAGAATTCGGAGAAATTGCAGTGATGTGACCAATTACGAAGATCAATCACTGTGTATAAAGACAGATTTTGTCAATAAGGGATATGATGCATCCAAATTGGAAAATTCAAGATTGGAGATAAAAGGTAGGGAAAGAAAGGAATTACTAACTTACAAAACAAAAACGAATAAGGAAATACAGGATGTCCCATTCATTTGTAATTACAACACAAGCAATCATCAAGTACGTAAAATTATAAATAAATATTGGCCTATATTACTCCAGGACCCAACCCTTAAACAAATTCTTCCAGTAAAACCTAGAATGATATATAGAGGAGCAAAGAACCTTAAAAATACATTGGTGAGAAGTTTTATAAAAGAAAAGAATCATTCCTCTACGCTGTTCAAAGGTGAAAAGGGTTTTTATGGATGCGGACAGTGCACAGCATGTAAAAAGTCAGGCTGTAATAAAAGGATAATAAAGGAAATAATAACTAATAAAGATGTCACTATTCCAATTAAACAATTCATGACTTGCTACACTAAAAATGTAATTTATCTCCTGATATGTCTGTGTGGACTCAAATATGTAGGAAGAACAACAAGACCTTTGCACACGAGAATTAGAGAACATATATATAAAATCCAAAGAGGATTTGAACAACACAGTGTCTCATATCATTTTTAAAAATTTCATAATCAGAAGCCAGAAGGTTTGACTTTTATGGGAATTAAGAAGCTGAATAAGAATTGGAGAGGGGGGGATTTTATTAGAGAGTTAGGAAAAACAGAAATGGAGTGGATCTATAAACTTAACACCTTGATCCCCTATGGCTTAAACTCAGATTTTGAGTTATGCCATTTTCTATAATACCCCTCTCTTCTTCCCTTCTTTTCCCCCTCCCCTCTTTCTTTTTCTTCCCTTTTTTTTTTCTTCTCCTTCTCTTATGTGATGATTTTACCCCTGTTTTTAAGTTCTCGAGTTTTGTAGGAGATTCCAAACACATATTCCTAGTTAGATATGTATAGATTTTACTTGCTTTTTATACAGTTTTATGCTCTTTTATGTATTTATGACTTTTTTGATTTATGGAATTTGATGGACTATTGAAACATATATGAATTATACACTTCCCGACCATGAAAGGGAATCTGTTCGTATGGACTTTATTACATCAGATACAGAAAAGAATAAGAGAAGAAGGAAGATACAAAGCTATGAGAGATAAGTGAAAGAACAATTTTTATGAGAGATAAGCGAAAAAACAATTTTTATATGAGAAACTTTATAAATCATTTGAGACAATTGATAAGCTGTAATGTTGTATCAGAAATGACTTTTTGATAAGTGATAAATGATATCGTTATACAGAGAGAATATAAGATAAAGGAATAAGAAAATTTGTATATGGGCAGCATCTGAAAACATTCTAGATAAGTGATAAGTTAAAACGCTGTATTTGCAATGATTCTTGATAAGTGGTTAACGGCAAGGTTATACAGAGACAAAATCTGCCGTTTATATGCGCGAGGTTCTTGTTAAATTGTACCAGTGTATGGGAACTTCACTTGCCGACTGTATGTGTAAATGAGATAGAGGCTTGAACCGCACACGCTCTGCCTGTGGGTGGCAACAGCGTGTGCGGCGTCATCACAGATCTTTCACCGCCAAACACGAGAGTATTTAAACAGTATCTAGTGAACAGCAATATTGTATTGATTTATCCAGTTGAAAAAGCCACAGTATAGTGGCGATACGCGTTCTGGTTTCCTGAATTTTAGCATATTGATGCTCTTTGTTTTATTAATAGATTTTAGGCATATTTATGCCCTTTTATTTTGTAATAAAGTTAGTTTTTATCACAACTTGGATTCACCTAACCCACCTGCCTTTTCTTGATGGGAGTGCAGTCCCACACTGCACAATACGTGAAAATTGAGTCAAATTACTTGACTCCAGGCTTGTAAGTACCCATTTGGGAATTTGTATTACCTTATAAGGGAATCCTAAATAGTAATGCGCAATCGTCCGTGTTTTTGCCCTCTTCTTAGGATAAAAGTCACAATATTGGAAATTAATCAAAGAAGAGGGAAGACTACCCAAACGGACCCAGCAGTGATATAACTTTGATAAGGGGAGGATCGCCTAAACGGATCCAAAAGCGATACAAACCAGAGCTGAGTCTACAGCTCCCCGTTTGTGAGTTTATTCATATATCCTTATACCAAAGATTACTTTATAATATACCATCTACACTATATGCGATTATTTCCTTTCTAGGAACTTGGTCGCCGATCCCGTATATATTCCTCAGAGACTACTAATAAGTGAAAATTGATCTTCATAAGCGCTACGTTCTTCCCTGTTTTTCAAGTATTTTGTTGTTTGAGGTGTTGGAAGCACCATATGAATGTTTAGCAGCTAGTTTGAAAATATTTGTAACCAATTGTATTGATTTAAATTATTTGTAATAAGCGCTGGTCCCTATCTATTATATGTTGTTGTTATCAAACTGTAAGTGTGGGTGTGGAGGATTAATCTATCCTGACACCCTTTTTTCTGTTCTTTACCTTTGTTAGTATTATTCCCCTAACAGGTTAATTCTGATACTCTTTGCTCCTGAATCAGCCAGCTATTCTTATTAGCATTACTTTATTGGGCATAATATTTTGACAATGAGTTAGACTTGGGTAATTTATTCCCTGTGTACGATACAGGACCAGACTGAGAGACCTACAGGGAATATGTGTCCCATACCAGGAGTCTCCCCCTCAGGCAAGGGATGAAATGATGACGCCAACCTCATGGCATCGGAGGAATTTCAATCCCTCCTGGACTCTACCATGGCACAGTCCATTAACAGGGCTTTGACCTCCGCGATGGGGGTCATGTCTATCACTCAGTCTATAACCAAAGCGCTGATAAAGACACAGACTAGTGGCACGCAGAACACGCTAAACCCGGGATCGATTAATGTGAAACAGGCGAGACGCAAAGCTTTGGCAAAAAGCAGACATGTGGCCTCCTCTCCAGAACTGCAGGTTCAGCCTGCACTGAATGACACGCCTCAGGCTGTCAAGGATGGTGTGATACCACCGCGCACTAGATCCCCTGACCGGGCAAAATCGACCAGAACTTGGAAGCGGGCACGTGCCCATGAGGACTCGTCCGATTCGGACCAGAGTTTGGAGGAGGAGTATGTTCTATATGGAACATTACAGTGCGGAATATTACAACTCTGGGTCTGAAATAAAAACATTCATTGCGACCCAGGAGGTTACGGCTCAGGGCACTAAGCCTGCTGAATCGGGTTAGGGGACGATTTGCGGGACCCGCTGGGTAACCCATTATTTGACCCAGATGACCTCCGTCATCCTCACTCAGCGGAATGGGAGCCACCTGCGTGCATCGCAGAGTACATCGCACTTAGGGTGCGCAAGCCTTTATCCAAAGAAGGGCGTAACAAGCTACGGGCGGAATGCCCACGGCCCATCCTCCCAGACTCAGTGGGAAAAACACCTGACGTGGACCCCCAATCGGTCCAATTCTTAAAGAAATCTGGTTGGAAACCGAGGAAAGGCTTAGACTTTTCTCTTCGGAACTGCCAGGACAAATTCCTGGACACTTTGGGGCCCATCTCTAAACTATATGAATTAGTGGAATCCGCCCAATCCGGGCGAAAACTAATTTGATTTCGAAGTAGCTAAAGGCTGGTTGCAGAGGTTAGTCTGCATGGTGGGCAACGCCAATACGGCTATGGCAACCGAATGCCGCAAGGCGATTCTCCTGAAAATAGAGCCCAAACTAGTCAGTATGGTGACCAATGAGCCGGGCCCAGCCGCTAAAGGCTTACTTTTTGGTGAATCCTTTATTAACAAAGAAACGTTGTTACACATCAACTGCCTAGAACTGTTAGCGGCATCCTTTTTTATACCCAGAGACCGGTACCGGAGCGAAACTATACCCCGTTCTTCCCATCTCTGGGACGCCCCTGGAATTCCCGCGGACCGGGGGGGCCGTTTCAAGCAGACGATCTTATGGTGAGTACCGAGTATCTCCTTTTTTCCCATGTAAAAGTGGGGGGCAGATTGGCATTGTTTCACCATGCTTGGAACATTTTAACCTCAGATGTTTGGGTATTAAACACAATACAAGGGTACCTATTGGAGCTAACCTCTCACCCTATTCAGACGCAGTTCCCTCAGGAACTGACTATGACCAAACACCACACAATGATCTCGGCAGAGGTCGCAGAGTTGGAGTCATAAAACGATATTCAACAAATCCCATGGGACACAGAAGGGTTCATGAGCAACCTGTTTCTGGTCCCCAAGAAAGGGGGCAGGGTTTGCCCAGTAATCAATCTCTGATTGGAGACTATTTTACTCTGGAGACTTCGCTGAACACAAAAATTTGTGTTTCAAAATGATAAATTGTATTACAATGGTATTTTCAGTAAAAGTTAAGTTTTTTGCATTTTTCACACACGAACTGCACTTTTACTGACAATATTATTGTTGTAATATGTTTTACTGTTTTGAAACACTTATGTTTGTGTTCAGTGAAGTCTCCCAAGTATAACAGGTTTTATGGTGTTTTGGAAAGTTAGAGAGTCAAATATAAAGCTTGCATTTCAATTTTTTCACATTGAAATTTGCCAGTTTGATAATGTTGCCTTTGAGACCATATGGTAGCCCAGGAATGAGAATTACCCCACAATGGCATACCATTTGCAAAAGTAGATAACCAAAGGTATTGCAAATGGGTTATGGCCAGTCATTTTTAGTTGCCACTTAGTCACAAACACTCTCAGGACTTGTAAGTGAAAAAAGTGGATTTATATTCTCTTTCTCTCTCTCTCTTTCTCTCTCTCTCTCCCTCTCTCTCTTTCCCCCTCTCTCTCTTTCCCTCTCTCTCGCTCTGTCTCTGTTTCGCTCTCTCTCTGTTTCGCTCTGTCTCTTTCTTTGTCTCTGTCTGTCTCTCTCTGTCTTTCTCTCTCCCCCCAGGGTATTAATATAAAATGGGAAACAAGTGGTTTATAAAAAGTGACAAAGCACGAAGGCACTGTTTAGACCATAAGGGAGGAGAGAGTTCAAAGTGAAAATCCATCTCATCTTCGCTTTCCCCAAATTGTATAATTTGAGGTTTAATAGTTTGAGGTTTATAATATATATCGTTTTACATTTGTTTTATAATAAGCACTGGTCTCTGTTCACATTCAGGATAGGATCCTGACAGCTGTTCTTTATGTAAGTGGCTATGGACTAAATTATTCTTCAAATTTTGAACTCTCCTATAGATAATTTGGGGTTTAACCCCTTAAGGACCAAACCTCTGGGGAAAAAAGGGAATCATGACATGCAACACATGTCATGTGTCCTTAAGGGGTTAAAATTTCATCATTTTTTTTTAAAATTGGCCAGTATTTGTTAATAATTTTTCAGATGTCATTATGTCTATAATTAAAGTCACAAATAAACTAAATTTGTTCATTTCTATCATTTGTTTTACTTTTATTAGAAATCAGGAGTTTGTTTCTACTTTTCATAAGGGTCTCCTTAAAAGCTTTATCGAGAAGTTTTTCATCATATTTCTTTTCTCTCAAGGCATTAAGAATTTTATTGGATTGTTGATTAAATATTTCTTCTTCTGTACAATTTCATTTTATCCTTAATAGTTGGGACTTCGGAACATTTTTCAACCACGGGGAGAAATGACAAGAAATGAGAATCTACATAACTATTAAAATCTACTGTTTTAAAAAAGGTCTTAGTTTTAATTTGGTTATTTTCCACATAAATATTTAAGTCTAAAAAGTTAACATTGGTTTGGCTAAAATCAGTAGTTAATTGGATGCCCCAGTCATTGTTTAAAAAAATAAGAAAGTCCTGGAGGGTAGATGGATTCCCCTTCCATATAAAAAATATATTGTCAATATACCGACTATAGAGCACAAGGTTTGCATCCCAGTCATGTCTATTAAAAACATATTCTTCTTCCCATTTAGACAAAAGCTTAGCGTAAGTGGGTGCAAATCTGGTGCCCATCACCGTACCACAAATCTGTAAATAAAAGTTGTCCTCAAACCAAAAATAATTAATTAAAATCTGTTGAATTCCTTTCAAAATAAAATCAATTTGTGGCTGAGGGAAAACCTTAAAAGTTTCTAAAAAAATATCTAGTCGATAGACACCCCTTTTTGTGAGAGATTATTGTATCCAGGGACCCGACACCTGAGGTGACTAGGAAAAAATCTTCTTCCCAAACTAGACCCTTCAAGATGTTCAGGAGATTTAGACTGCTTGGACACTTGTGGACCATAGGTTGCAAACATCTATCTTCATATTGGGAAAGTTTGCTAGATATAGAACCTATCCCTGAAATAATGGGGCATCCTAGTGGTTTCTCTTTATTTTTGTGGACTTTTGGAAGATAATAAAAGCCCTTGGGTTTAAAATATTTTAAAAATGTATATAATTTTTTTATTCAAAATCCCTAGCCTTTTTCCATTATCTATTAAAGAAATATAGCTTTTTTTAAAATCCACTAATAGGTCTTTGTTGAGTATTTGGTAGTTGTTTCTATCTCAAAGTGATTCTTGAATGTAATCCTTCCTCTCGAGTAACACGATTCCTCCACCCTTGTCTGCTGGTTTAATGACTAGGGTGTTATCTTGTTTAAATGAGTTTAAGGCTGCTCGGCTTGGTTGAGGTTCAATTCATAATGGTTAGGTTTTTTATTTTTTGTAAATCATTCATAACCATTTTTTTCAAATGTGGTGATCTCATCTGAAATTTCGCCCATTGGGAAAAATTTTGACGGATCATTTAGTTCAGTGTGTTTAAATTGACTCTGTTCATTGGGATCATTAGGTTGATTCATATTAGATTTTGCAAAAAAACTTTTTTAAACATTTGTTAAGGTCAATAAAGAAGTCAAATTTATCAAGTAACTTAGTGGGAGTAAACTTAAGGCCTCTATTGAGAAGGGAAATTTGGGGTTTCAGGAGTGTTCTCTCAGTGAGGTTGAAAATACCACTCTTGTGTTGTTGGTTGTTACATAGTTACATAGCTTGTGTCCATCAAGTTCAGCCTTCCTCACATATGTTTTTGCTGTGGATCCAAAAGAAGGCAAAAAACCCAGTCTGAAGTGCTTCCAATTTTGCAACAAACTAGGAAAAAAGTTATTTTTTGACCCCAAAATAGCAGTCAGATGTCTTCTCGGATCAAGCAGCTATTACCCCACTAATTAGAAATTATATCCCTGTATGTTATGTTTTTGCAAGTATTTATCCAATTGCAGTTTAAACATCTGTATAGACTCTGACAAAACCACCTCTTCGGGCAAAGAATTTCATATCCTTATTGCTCTTACTGTAAAAAACATTTTCTTTCCCTTAGATGAAATCTCCTTTCTTCCAGCCTAAATGTGTGACCTCGTGTCCTATGTATAGCCCTGTTTATGAATAGATTTCCAGATAAAGGTTTATACTGGCCCTGGATATATTTGTATAATGTTATCATATCCCCTCTCAGGCGCCGTTTTTCCAAACTAAACAGATTTACAGTTTTTAACCTTTCTTCATAACTAAAATGCTCCATTCCTTTTATCAATTTTGTAGCTCGTCTCTGCACTTTTTCTAGTGCCATGATATTTAGAACAGGTGCCCAAAATTGCACAGCATATTCAAGGTGTGGTCTTACCAGCGATTTATAAAGAGGCAAAATGAAATATTCATCTCGAGAATTTATGCCCCTATTTATACATGACAAAACCTTAGTGGCCTTAGCAACGGCAGATTGACATTGCATATTGCTGCCTAATTTGTTGTCTTTAACAATTCCCAAATCCTTCTCATGTGTGGTTATCCCTAGTTCATTACCATTTATGGTGTAAATTGCTTGTGCATTCTTAACCCCAAAGCGCATAACTTTGCATTTCTCTATGTTAAATTTCATCTGCCATTTTAGTGTCCAGTCCCCCAATCTATCCAAATCCCTCTGCAGCAAGGCTATTTCCTGCTCACATTTTATTACTTTACAAAGTTTTGTGTCATCTGCAAACACTGATACATGGCTTTCAATGCCCATTTCAAGATCACTTATAAATATGTTAAATAGAAGCGGTCCCAAAACATAACCCTGAGGGACACCACTTACCACTTTTGTCCAGGTTGAAAATTTACCATTAATGACAACTCGTTGTACTCTATCCTTAAGCCAATGTTCTACCCAAGAACAAGAATATCCATCTAGACCAATTTCTTTTAGTTTGAAGACTAAACTATTTTGAGGAACTGTATCAAATGCCTTGGCAAAATCCAAGTAGATCAACGTCCACTGCAACACCCTGATCTATACTTCTACTTACTTCTGCGTAGAATGCAATTAGGTTAGTTTGACATGACCTATGTTTTATAAAACCATGCTGATTATTGCTAATAACACAGTTCTTCCCAATGAATTCCTGAATATTATCCCTTAATAGCTGTTCAAATTTCCCAGTCACAGAAGTTAAGCTCACAGTTCTATAATTTCCAGGCAAGGATTTTGAACCCTTTTTAAATATAGGAACAACATCTGCTTTCCTTCAATCCTCCGGTACAATACCTGAAACAAAAGAATCTTGAAAAATTTAAAATAGTTTTTTCTTTCTTCTCTGTATCTCTCCTCCTTCTCTATTTCCCCTTCTTCTAGGGCCCTCCCTCTCTTCCCTGGGGATTTGTGTATTCCTTCTGCTTTTTGTTTTCCTTTTATTTGTGTCTTCCAAAAATCCTCATCCCTGGGAGATCTATTCAGGTGTTCAAACCTATTCCTAGTGTAAATTTCATTTCTTCTATTCCCATTTTCTCTCTCTTGCCCTCTCTGTGTAGGGCAAGCATGTCAAACTCAAAGTCTGGATCAGGCCACATAAACAAGATTTAAGTTTATGTGGGCCGCAAAAAAAAAAACCTCATATATTTTCATAGAAACGTAGGTTTATTTTAAAAAGTACAGTATAAACCCCCCCCAGCATCCCCCTCTACTAAACCACAGCACCCCCTCTACTAAATTCCAGCCCCCCTCTACTAAACCACAGCACCCCTCTCTACCACCCTGTGCCAAATCTGATCCTCCCGCTGACACACACACATACTGACAGACACACACACACACATACTCGCTGACACACACACACACCCTCGCTGACAGACACACACACTCGCTGACAGACGGTTACACACAGACACACACACACACACACACTCTCACTGACAGACACTCACATATTTGCTGACAGAGACACACACACACTTTTTTTTATTGTTCCTTACCTTATGGAGCCGATGTGGGGCATCTCTCTGGGGTCCTTCCTGCTCCTCACTGCTCCCTCGTGCGGTTTGGTGGTGCCGGAATGTAACGTCATATTCCGGCGCCCGGCTTCACTTCAGACGGTGCGCGAGAGGGAACAGTGAGGAGCAGGTACACTGAGCAATATGGGGAAAGCAAGTGCCTACTCTGCTATAGCACCAGCATGTAATCGCGGCTCGGCGGGCCGCAAGGACTGTCCTGCTTGTAGGGTATGACATGCTTGGTGTGGGGTATTGTTACGGTTGCCTCCAGGCTGGCTGGAAGTTGGACCGTAGAAAAGGATGCTCCTAGTGCTCACCAAAGGACCATCAGCACTGCAGACACCATAAACACTGTGTAGACACCATAAGTACTGCAGACTCCACGAATCGCCACTGCTGGTCTGGTACCTCGCCGTCTGCTATCCACCCTGCACCTATGCCCAGGCTACAGGTTCCAGTAGGTGAGCCTCTTCCTTCTGCAGAGAGAAGCAGGATCAGGAACAAGAGCTCAGTAGCAAAGGGAGCATGCAGAGCATAGCAATCCCTCTAGTGATTATAGTTGTCCCCTACAAACATGAGTCGAGGCTGCAAGTTAGAGGGTCAAGTCATTCTGTTTAATTGGCACCAAAGGGCCTTCTTTTATGCAGGTTTTCCTTACATAGGACCACCCACAGGGTTTTACAGAACAACCAATAACACACGTACATTACAGAAAACACTGAACGATGTCTTTGTGCACCAAATACCGGCAAGATGGCACTGTGTAGAAAAGTCAAAACAGTGTCTGTGAGTTAAAATGGCCGCCATCCATTGTTCTCACTATGTGCTTCATCCATTGTTCTCACCATGTGCCTCTGATACATGAAATGGTGGCCACCCAGTAACTCCACCGTTTGTCTGGAAGTCTATCCAGTCGAACCAACAGATGAAACACATGGGGAACAGTGCAACAAACAAAGGGGATCATAAAAAATATGGACAAGAGTCATATTTGTGCACCATCTCCAGTTTTGTTACAGGGCACAAATAGTGTTTTTAAATGCCATGTATCCCAGGGCCATAGTCAGAAGGTAGGAGGCGGGCAAGCAGCACCCTCCAAGAACACGTGGCAAGGTCTGTTCTGCCACAGGTATGGTTTGGGAGGTGATTTTACTAGTGCTTTTCTGGGTCTGTGTTTAACTACCTCCCACTGTTGTTTTTTTGTTTGTTCTCTAGTAGGAGTATTAGGTTTGTAGGTTCGTACGAGTGTTCTTGATTGGGTTTTGTTCTTCATTCTAATATAGTTATCTTCATTATGGAAATCTCCCCATTTTTTTGTATTATTGTATATCTGTTGTTCTTTTTTAGAATAAGACCTTACTTGGTTTCTAGCATAGTCGGTTTTGTCCATAATATATTTCCTCTTTTTAATTTCTACCACATTTTTCTCTATTTTTTCTATATTTGATTGAATATCTTGAGTGATATTGCAATACTCCTCAGGGGATGTGTTGTTAATCAAAACATTTTGTATTGGGGGCGTGGCCTGACCAGGGACCGAGCTGGACGCACGAAGCTAGAGCTCTGGTTCCAGCACGCCAAAAAAGCACATATTTGCAACCTAAAATAGCCTTTACTCACCACCCATGGAGAAAAGAAACCCCAAGAAACCCCAAAAGAAGGGCCTGGAGCCCGGATCCTCCGTCCTGGACCTGCTGGCTGTACAAAAGGGCAGGCCTGCGGACAGCCAAGATGGCGCCCGCAGGGGGCCTACCTCGCGGCCGCCCTCACCACTGACCGGGGCAGCGGAGGGGCCCGGAGAGAGAGACAATCGGCAAATCTTAGCCAAGCTGGGGGAGGTGCAAGCTTACCTGGCGGGGGAGATTGAGAGGTCCACCGCAGTCCTGCGGTCGGAAATTGCCGCACTGGGAGCGAGAACCGCCATTTTGGAGGACCGCGTGGAAGGCACAGTCAAGGCCCACAACATGGCGGCAACACAAGTTAATAAGCTTACCGCACGACTGGCTGAGGTGGAGATGGCGCTGGAGGATGCTGCTAATAGGTCCCGGAGAAACAACCTCAGGCTGAGAGGTTTACCGGAAAAGGAAGGCGAGGGGCCACTGCCAGATATTGTTCTACAGATACTCAGACCGATGCTGCCGGATTTACCGGAGGAGAAATGGCAGATTGAGCGGGTGCATAGAGCCCTACGCACCAGACGCCCGACCCCCAGCTCCCCGAGGGACGTTATTATTAAATTTCTGCATTACCCTACCAAAGAAGCCCTCATGCAGCAGGGCAGGAAGAAGAGCCTTACCTACCAGGGAGCAGAGCTGCAGCTCTTCCAGGATTTGGCGCCGAGCACTCTACAGCGCCGGAGAGAATGGAGGCCTATCACTGCGGCTCTGGGGGAGGCTGACATCAGATATGCCTGGGGGCACCCGTTCAGGCTGTTGGCGTTCCGGGAGGGGAGGGTCCAGGCTCTCTCACCCGGAGGGGACCCTCAGAGCTTTCTCCGAGCGCTTGGAGTGACGCCGCCGGGAGGCTTGCCGAGGATTGCCGTGACTGAGGTGGAGCTGGAGACCCTGCCGACGGAGTGGCAGACGGCGGGTGCTGGGCTGTGATGAGGTCTCCTGGTGAAGATGGCCCTGGGACTGGAGGTGCCAGACGTGAGCATGGGACTTGAGGGGGGGAGAGCGAATGGACTATTGGGGAGGGGAGTGGGAGACTGGAGTTGAAACATGGCGGAGGAGGCTCCACACTAACTCTGAGATACTGGGGGTGCCTTACGGGGGTAGAGCCCCTCAAGGGATATGACGGGGCTATGGTGGGGCTCCGGTGGGAAGGGGGCTGACCGTTTTTGGGTGGGGGGCTGAGAGGCATAGCCTGGGAGTGGAAGGTAGGGGAATGGAGGGTCCCGGTGGGGGATAGGTTGCAGTAGGGGGAGCAGGGCACCCGGGGGGATTCGGATGAGGTATCATCATTTCTGGGGGCGACGGATATGGTGGTGGTGACTCGTGGAGTCAAGGGGACAGCCACAGGAGGAGCCGGCAGGGTGGTGCCCGGGGGTCTAGGGGGCGGCCCTCTCCGGGGACCCCACAGTGTGGGAACGGGCCTCGGGCAACGCTCTCCATCACGGAGCACCAAGGCACCGGACCAGTAGGGGGTATCCCCGAAGGAGGGGGGAGTATGGCGGAGAAGGCCACCCCTTATATGGGGGGGAGCACTTGACAGCATAGGCAGGGCATAGAGGGACGTGGGGGTTCAGGTGGAGGGCGGCTTGTGGGCAGAGGGCTCACCCGTGGTGGGAGTTTCTGAGCAGGGGCTGGGGGGGGGGGTCTGATTGCCTCACGAGGGATTCCGGTATTTTACTTCAGGGGACGGAGCACAGTGGGAGGGGTATCCAGCCTCACATGGCGGGGGGGTACAGATGGGTACCCCCCCCGTAGAATAGTTAGGGGGACTCTAAGAGACATGGTGAGATAACGGGTAACGCTCACACGTGGGTGAAGGGTTCGCTTTTCCTCCTCGGTCTCAGGGATATGAGAACACCTAGGGGCATCGGGTCCGGAGAACCTCAGGGAGTCCGGGAGAGTTCGGACAGCTTCTGTAGGGCAGTTATCAGTTACTCAAGTTTAAATTAGGGCTCACAAATAACTATGGGTTTCACGAGCAAGAGGTAGCTATGGGGGTGGTGACACCAGGAGCTTCCAGAGGCACGGGGACGCCGCGCATTGGCGTGTCGGGGATTCAGACCTTAGGCCTCGCGCATCTTTTGGGCATTAGACGCGGGAAGATGCGGGGTCCTACACCCTATATTAGTCTGGCTAGAGGCAAGACTAGACGACGCCGGCGGCATGCACGACATACGCCGTGTCGTCACAGTTGTATATACTTTCTTTCCTATTTTTCTTCTCATTTTCTCTTCCCTAGATGTCTTTCCCCTCCTATGTTTGTTTATCCCGTGGGGGCGGGGTGGTGGGGACCGGGGCCCAAGGGGGGCGGCACGACCCACTGGGACAGCGTGACTATACCGGTGAGGTCATGACGTTGCAACTTACTACATTAAACGTAAAAGGGCTCAATGCACCACGGAAAAGGCGGTTAGTATTTAGGGAACTCAAGCGGATGAGAGCAGAGGTGGCCTTCATCCAGGAAACGCACCTGCCGAAACACGCGGGGTTTAGATTACGAGACCACTCCACGGGCGCTTCGTAAACAAAACGGAGTGGCCATATTGCTCCGGAACAGCTGTCCGATGGCGATTACGTCATCTGACTGTGATCCGGAAGGGAGGTATGTCATCCTAACTGGTACGTTGCATTCACACACGATACATTTAATAAATGTCTATGCTCCTAATCAGTCGGCGGCCGGGTTTTGGGAGGTGTTGCTGGAGAAGATTCGGAATCTGCCACGGGGCATGTTAATCATGGGGGGGGATGCCAACGCAGTGACGTCCCCTGCCGTGGACAGGAGTGCACATGGGGGGGTACCTAGATCCCAGGGGAGGGGGAGCCAAGACCGGTGTTTCTATAAGTTTCTGATGGAGGCGGGGCTGGTGGACGTCTGGAGGGCACGTCATCCGAGCACGGTAGATTATACGTTCTATTCGGCCCCACACGGCACATACTCTAGAATAGATATGTTCCTAGTTAATGACAAATGCCTACCGTACGTCCAGAGCTCAGAGATTGGGCCCATAGCATGGTCCGACCATGCGGACGTATCTCTCACGTTAGGGAGCCTGGGGGTAGCTACCCCCTGGACTTGGAGGCTTAACTCCTCCCTATTGAGGGACCAAGATATAGTCGACCAGATTCGGACGGACCTACTAGACTATTTCGCAACTAACGACACTCCGGACATGGGTCCGGAAACGATATGGGCGGCACACAAGACAGTGATACGGGGCTCTCTCATTAAGATAGCGACTGCTAGGAAGAAAAACAAATTCCTCAGACTGACCACCTTACTGACTGAGCTTAGGAGGGTAGAACAGCAACATAAACACAGACCCGACGACGGGACATTCCGACAGCTGGAGGCTAAAAGACATGCCATCCGCTCCTTACTACTAGATGACTCGGCTAAAGCCATGACATGGTCCAAACGCACCTTCTATGAAAAGGCAAATAAGATGGACACGCTATTGGCCAGGAGTCCTGAAGCCTAGACTGCGACGCGGACATATCACTGCCATACGACACTCAGATGGCTCCATTAAAACTCTGCCCACAGAGATCGCAGACGTATTTACTGACTTCTTCAAAACACTCTACAACCACTCTCCGAACACAGCAACGCAAGTAGCGACAGACACTGCACTGACACTGAATTTCCTCTCCAGTTTGGATCTACCTAAATTATCTCCAGAGGCGATCGACAGATTGGCAGAGGAAATTCTCCCAGAAGAGGTGGACCGGGCTATCTCGGAGCTGAAAAGCAATAAGGCCCCTGGACCGGACGGGTATGATGGGACTTACTATAAGACCTTTAGGGAAGAACTGACGCCCCACCTGACAGCACTCTTCAACGGGTTCCGAGGGACACACACACCAAATCATGACATGTCTTTAGCTACCATTATCTTACTGCCTAAACCCGATAGAGACCCACTCCTCCCTGAGAGTTATCGACCCATATCTCTCATTAACCATGACATGAAAATTCTAGCCAAAATACAGGCGAATAGAATTAACCCATATCTAGCAAATCTAGTCGACCCGGACCAGGTAGGCTTTATTCCCGGTAGGCAATTATTTGAGAATACTCGCAAAAATATCGATCTCATATGGAGACAGGCAACCCTGAATACCCCGACCTTAGTGCTTTCGCTCGATGCTGAAAAAGCATTTGATAGAGTCCAATGGCCGTACTTATTCACGCTCCTCTCACATCTAGGCTTCCCGGAACAATCTATATCATTAATCAAAGCTATGTACACTAATGTACAGGCCCAGGTGAAAATAACAGGTGCCCCACTCAGGCCGTTCGAACTTCACAATGGTACACGGCAGGGATGCCCCCTCTCCCCATTATTGTTCGCACTGTCACTAGAACCTTTACTACAGGCGCTGAGGAAGCACCCGGACATCAGGGGAGTGAGGGCGGGGGGGAGGGAGTTTTTAGTATCGGCCTACGCGGATGACGTGCTCTTGACGGTCACCAGCCCCCTAAGCTCCATGAGAGCCCTCCAAGAGGTCCTGCGAGAGTACGGACAGTTAGCTGGCTTTAGGGTGAATATGGCTAAATCCAGTGCCCTGCCGATCAATCTAACGGGTGGAGACATCACTTTAATCCGGAGCAAGTACGGATTGAAGGTAGTGCACCAATCGCTTAATTACTTAGGGATCCGCCTAACAGCACACCCAGCACAGTTATACAGCCAAAATTACGCACCCCTAATCAGGAAATTAATTAACGAGCTAGAGACTTGGTCGGACAGACCTATTTCCTGGATAGGCAGAGTCCACGCGGTAAAAATGAATATACTGCCGAGGATCCTGTTCCTCTTTCAAACTCTTCCAATCCTTGTGTTGAAAGGGCAACTACTGCCGCTGCAACGGGCGATAGGGACATTCATTTGGAACTCTAAACGCCACAGGATCTCGAGATACATTTTGTATCGGCCAAAAGATAGAGGGGGCTTGGGCCTCCCTAGTCTTTATTTTTATTATGTAGCAAGCCAATTAGCACAGGTAGCAATGTGGCACTCACCCCCGGGGGATAGGAAATGGGTGGATTTAGAATCTCTGATGGTGGGAGTGGACCTCCCACAACTTCTTATCTGGGTGCCAAAGCCACATAGACCCCAAATTAAAGTCACCTGCCCAGCCATTCTTAATTCCATCAGGTTATGGGACACCATGGCACATAGATATGGATTAGCCTCAGACCCTTCCCCCCTCATGCCATATCTCTGGAACAAGGAATTCCCTCCAGGCATGGTGGCCAGAGATTACCGGAATTTAGAGAGGGTAGGGCTCCAACGGATATGTCAGTTATTCCAGGGTGCAGATTTCCTCCCGTTCGATGCCCTACAACAAGAAGGGCACCTTACTCCAGCTGACTTTTTCCGCTACCTCCAAGTCAAAGATTATGCTAAGCAGCCCCATATACAGGCAGCGGCACAACAGACGATGACATTCTTTGAACGCATATGCATACAGGAACGGATGCCCAAGGGCCTGATAACGATCTTATATAAGCACCTAGCCTTAGAAACTAAGGAATGGGGCAGCCTTAAATATATAACCCAATGGGAAAGAGATCTGGGGGAAGAACTAGAGGGAGTAGAGTGGCAAGAAATATGGCAGGCCAATCATACCTCTTCGATATGTGTCACCATGCAAGAACAATCCGTGAAAACAATGCTCCGATGGTACACCACCCCCACCCAGCTGTACCATATGAGGAAGACTCCCACGGACTTGTGCTGGAGGGGGTGTGGTATCAGGGGAACATATAGGCATATGTGGTGGGACTGTCCGGTGATACACAATTTCTGGTCGCAGGTTAGAGGGATGATAACCCAAGTCTTTGCCCGAGCCCCAGAGCTAAACCCATGGGTTTACTTATTAAGCAGATCGTTAGAGGGGTGGACCCGGAGGGAACAAAAACTCCTCCATAAAATTACATTGGCAGCACGGCGTGCCATTGCTGCAAGCTGGCTAAAACAAACGGCCCCCACGACACAAGAGGTTCTCAATAGAATTAAGGAAGTGCACCTGATGGATGACCTAACCGCCCGAATAAGGGATACCCACCAGTCCTTTCTGAGGATCTGGGAGCCATGGGAGAATTCCCCACTAAGAATGTAGCGTGAGAAGAGGAATTTGGCCTCTCATCCCCTACCGCCCCCTTCCCCCCCTCCCCCCCCCCTGTATTGTTCTTTCCCTTCCAACTTGTCACCCTACCTTTCTTTCTCTCTGTCTCATACGCACCAACTGCTTCGGTACCTTGCTTCCATGGGGCGCACTGGGCAGATATGGGGAGTTGATGTTTCCCGCTGACTCTACCGCAGGGACTCTAGTAAGCTTTCTCTAGAACACGATAGGGGTAGTCCGTGAGAAGTAGAGAATGCAATAACGTAGGCAAAGGGGTGGCCACGGTCATGAATGTAGGACCACTAATGGGGTATAGCCAAACAGTGAGCTGTCCTACTGGGGGGACTAGGCGGGAGGGAGAGATATCAATGGAGGGCCCATCGCCCGGGCGGAGCAGACTGGCTTACGTTTCAGGAATTGGAGACAATTTCTATTCTGTCTTTGTTTATTTTTTGTTCTATATGTTTATCTTGTGTTTGGTTAAACCAAGAAAACTGGCATTGGCAAGGAAAGTGAAAGCGGAAGAACCGGGGGGACTCATGAGCAATTCACAGACTCGGAGCTATGCACAGGGGGGTATGAGAGTGGAGAGGCGATCTGCCCTAGGGTGGATAGTGGGTTTGGCATGGGATGTGAATGTTATGTCTGTACCGGATATGATTGTTACCTCTGCAAGTCAGCATACTCTGTCAATGCTAATGGTTAAAATAAAGAATTAAAAAAAAAAAAAACATTTTGTATTTTATTGATGTACTAATCCAGTTTTATAAGAGTTTTTTATTTCCTTCTTTTGATGATTAATCCCATCATGCCAAAGGAAAAATTATCCAACATGTCGGACCATTCTTTAATGAAGTCTTCCTCATCCTGGTCAAATGATGGGCTATTATTAAATCTTAATCCTTTTGGGGTGATTTCCTCCCTCATATATTTCTCTAGAGTTGCAACCTCCCATTTAATTTTCATTTCTCTCACCATTGTTCTTTCTAAATTGTTTTTATTAAATATTAAGTCTCCTTAACTTTCCATTTGTTTAATTTCACCAGGCATATTAAACTCTTCAAATAAAACATCAATATTTTTCCCACAAATTTTTATTAATTTAGTAGGTTAGGCCCACAAGAGCTCACAGAAGGGTGTGGTAATTGTGTTTGATGCTGAAAAAGCATTTGACCGGCTTAATTGAACTTATGTCATTAACATTATCCCAACTAGGATTCTCCACAAAATTTCTCACTAGCATGCTAGCCCTATACGGTCGCCCAACTACAAAACTGTACAACTTCATAGTAGAGCTACACACACCACTTGGGGAGCATAAAATTGCATTATTTGCTATTGACATTATCTTATTCCTGACTAAACCAGAAACCTCTATTCCTCAACTACTAGAACTCCTGCGTTCCTAAGGAAATATCTTACACTATAAAAACAATGTAGCTAAAACTCAGGCCATGTCCATAGTATTAAACAAATAGATGATGGCTCAGTGCTGAGTAATCTAATACAAGCTTAAGGCAGGTGGGGGAGCAGCAACCTATAATATGGGGTTCCCTCAGATAACCTCAAAGAAAAGAGAACAGACAAAAATGGGTTATAGGTCGCGCTATAAAAGCAAAGAGATAATATATCAAATAAATAAATTCATGTATAAAAGTCCCAAAATATTAAATCAACCTGTAGGATGCTTGAATATGTATAGAGTCCAATGAATATCTGAATCTTCTTGTACTGGAGATGTCTTGATTCACTTGTAGATATGTAGATACATAAAAAGAGACAAAGAAACTCCAATAGTGCAGATAGAATGTCGACAGGTAGGCAAGTGGAAATCCACAAATAGATAAAACACTCACCTATTTAAGAGCATAAACTAGCTCAAGTATTCATAACATTCAGTGGCGTCAGTCCCCAACTGGGGATGAAATTCTTGAAAGCTCCTCGGTATATAAAGAGATAAGAGACGATATATAGTGCTCACTGTATTAATTTAAAATGCAAAATAAAAGTGGTAAAATGCTCACATATATATGAGCAGGATATACTGCTCAATATAATAGCGTAGGTGGTACTATCCCCACTTAGGATTCTTGGGTAGGAGCGTGCTCCAATTCGAATTGGTGACCAGGTTTAAAACAAAAGATAAAAAAATAAAAGGTGTATAAAGGCAGAAAGAAGGGCCAATATTCCTTTATTAATAATAAAAATATTCGTATAAAAACAGCCAAAACGTGTTTCACCACACAGGGCTTTTATCAACTGGCATTAAAAGAAAAACCAAAACAATAGATACTTATATAAACTAAAAGAGCAGATGTGGATTCAAATTTTGGCGCCAATTTGACGTCACTAATAGAATATAAACGAATTTACAAAATTACAAAACTTAAAATTATTGATATCAAAGTATTTCTAAGGACAATCCAAATATATTCATATATTTTAAAGTTAAAAACGAGCGTTATTATTCAACAATAATTTGAGATGTTAAAATTATTGAAATCACGTGATGTTCTGGGGACTGTGGGAAATGTATGCTGGGGCTGAGAGACCGGTGCGAATATACACGCCCATCTCTCAGCGTCAGTATACTAGGCGTGGGCACTAAAAGGACGAACAAGTCATGTGGCTGGAAGGGCCATTTTTATGATAGTTAACAAAAGAAAATACACTCTATAGAACTTTGGTTAAGAACCCAGGGGGGGAATAACATGTCTAGTTTTTAAGAAAAGGGAAGCATGCCAAAGGGTAGGGATAGTCATGTGGGACGTCCCACAGGATAGGGGCGCCCCACATGGCGACCACCCACCCACTGATCTCTCTGATAATAATAATGAAAGAAGGAAAAAATGAATGAAATAATAAAATAATAAAAAATAATGAATGAAAAAAGAATACTGTCAAAAAAAGTCAATGCTGACTTTTATATAAGGGAAAATAAGTAGAAAATTAATAAAGTAAATAAATAAATAAAAAAATAATAATAATAAA